TGCACAGATTCAATGCGACGTTTTGTTGTATGCACAGATTCAATGCGAGAGTTATATATTATAAACAATAAAAATTAGAATATTTGGATTGTAATTCTTACTCAAACTCTGATTGAATTTAATTTGAGTTGGTAAATTTTTCCTTTAGGCCTATTTTGAAAAGTTGGTTTTTTAGTCAAAAAAAACTAAAAAGTTTTCTAAAAAAAGTCACTAAAAAAGTTAATTTTCAAAACAATCCTTTGTCCCAACCAAATTTAAAATAGTCCTAAGGCCATAAAATTTTACAAACTTAAATTACTTAAGACTATAAAATTTTACGAATTTCAATTACTTAAATGTTAATAGATATGTTTATCATATATCTAAAAATTTAAAATAAAAGTAATTTTATAATCTAAAAATTTATAAAAAAAAATATTAATATATATATACATCATTTTCGTAAAATTTTAGAAACTTAAATTACTTAAGTTGGGGCCACACATTGTACCTCGACAGGTTTATGATCTAAAAATTCATATAATGTTAATAAATATCTTTATCAAATATCTTAAAATTTAAAAATAAAAATAATTTTATTATCTAAAAATTTATAAAAATATTAATACATATCATTTTCATATATATTTAACCGTGCATAACACACAGGTTGAATGCTAGCAAATATATATAACTATTTATTTCATAGCGTTGACATAAATATATATTTTTTACATAAATTCAAAATTTTTAATAAATATGCATAAAATATGTTCGTATTTTTATTATAAAAAATATTTACAAATAAATCAAATCTTATAAGTTAACCCTAATGTATTAACATAGAAATCCAATCCAAACTAAACTAAAAGTCTATAATGTATTAACGTAGAAATCCAATCCAAACTAAATAAAAAGTCTGGAGCTAATAGAATCCTCTAAGGATTCAACTCTTCAGAGAAAGAACGAGTAAACAACCAATCTCCTAATAATGCTTCCATACCAAGCCACTCAAAACCTTTTATATATATATATATAGATTACAGTAAACATTATCACTTATCAGCAAATTCTAGAGAGTGAAGTTTGTTTCTTTGAGAGTGAAAGAGAGTTTTGCAGGGAGAGAGAGAGAGAGAGTTTTCTTGGAGTGTAATGATGTGGAGGAGAGGGAAAATACTGGGAAAGGGAGGTTCTGCAATGGTGTATCTGGCTGCAGTTGTTTCACCACCAAGAAGTAATGAACTACTACCTTCTCTCATGGCTGCCAAATCTGCCCCTGTCAACAATTCCCAATTGCTTTCCATCGAAAGAGAGTTGTTCAGTCAGTTTGAAGGCTGTCCTCACATTCTTCGCTGTTTTGGGGACGATGTTACGATCGAAGACGGAGAGCAATGGTACAACATCTTGTTAGAGTATGCCGCTGGTGGAAGTTTGGCTGATCGCATTCAGAGTTACGGCAGAGGACTACCCGAGACAGAGGTCAGAGGATACACAAATTCTGTACTTCTGGGTCTGAGTTACATTCACAACAAGGGTTATGTTCACTGTGATATCAAGCCTCAGAACATATTGCTTGTGGATGACTTGTCAATGGATTTGAATGAAAAGATGAATAGGGTCCAAGAAAGAACTGCAAAGATTGCTGACCTAGGGCTTGTAAAGAAGGCTGGAGAGAGGTTGACAGAAAAAGGAAGAAAGCTTGGAATCAGAGGCACTGCACTGTATATGGCCCCGGAGTCCATTCGCCATGAAGATTATGAACCAGAATCAGACATATGGGCATTAGGGTGCACAATTTTGGAGTTACTGACTGGAAAAGAACCTTGGAAGTGCGACCGGAATACAGAAAGAGTAACTATCTTGTTTAAAATAGCAAGTACACAAGAAATACCTGAAATTCCAAGTGGGTTCTCAGAAGAGGCGGAAGATTTTCTGAAGAAGTGCTTGGTTAGGGATCCAAAGTCACGGTGGACTGCTGATATGCTCCTAGGCCATCCCTTTGTTTCAGCTGCAGATGGTGTTTTCACCGGGAGTATCAGAGAGGAAAGAAACACAGTTGTTCATCCAAAAGCAGCATAAGGTATTCTTCATTCATCATTCTTGAGTACATTCAATCTTCCCAAACCTTATTTGCTCACGTCACATTCAGCATCAAATGGATAAGAACCTAATAGTTGCATAGCCACAAGACATTCGGATGACATTGTTTCTGAAGACTTCACACTTGTAAAGTGCAGAAAAGATTAGAGCAAGATGCCAAAGAAGGGCTGTCTACAAGTTTTTGACTCGATGCCATTGTAGTGGCATTGGGGTATCAAGAGGATTTCAGAGATACCAAACTCCAACATTGCCATTGAGATTTTCAATTGAGGTTTTAATGGAGCATGATTGTTGTTGCTTCAAGTCATCTGTTCTGAGTATGTCTCAAACTCGACCCAGATAATCCTATGTATAGAGCGGTTGTAATGAGAGGGAGGGCTCATTGTATTCTCTACATTCATAGTGAAACTCCTCTGTCCTTTTTCGCCCGTGGACGTAGGCTTATAGCCGAACCACGTAAATCATTGTGTGCTTGTGTGATTGTTTTGTTTTATATTTTCTCAATTTAAGTTTCATCATAAAATCACTAATTAATATCTAATTGAAGCATAGGCTTTCAAACAAATAGAAACCCTTACTTATAATCAGATCAACCAATTCCAATTTCCCAGGTTCAATACTTTGGAAAATTAAATCATCCCTAACTCTCCACAATGACCACAACACAACAAAAAAATAGTTTTCTAATTAATTCTTTCCAAATTTGTGTAACTCTCTACCGCACAAGGCATACCACTCACTAATTATCCATATGGGAAGAAGTCTAGTATGTCCCTTTCTCTCACATTCCAAAAATGGCATGATACTTTCTTTGCAAGATGTCCTACAATATTACTTGTAAAAACTAAACGATTTTAATAAAACTCAACGAGGATTTGGCAATTAATAAAAGATTTGAGTGTGAACTCAAACATAATGAAAGCCATGATTCAATCAAATGAAGAAGAGCGGGGAGAAAGAACAATTTTAAAAGATATCCATCACAACATGCCCTTAAACTTGTCTCATCACCACAGATCAGATATAATAAAATGGAGTGAGTTTCCACCACCAATGGAAATTTGAAATGATCCATTGGAAACTTTTAGCATTAGAATGGACAACTAGGTAGTGCATTGCCGGGTGGAATTTAAATAAAAAACAAACGTGAAACAGAATATAAGTTGATAAATTTTTTATAAATTGTCTGCTCCATCAGTATTTTATCACTTTCAATATTTTTAGTCCTGCAATGATTATTATAATGATAATGACATCATCGCCATGTTATTTGAATATCTGGTTTCCAAAATTTGCATTTTTTGTTCATAACCTAGGCTAGGAGTTAAAAGGAACTAAATTCTACATATTGAAGCATCCACAATGATTCGTCGTTGTATATAAATTCCTCTATTTCTATGTTTTCTACTACAAATTGTTCGCTCAAAATATTTCAAATCTTGCTTATACTAGTTATGCTCTTAATATAGTGTACTAGGATTAGGGTTATGGAGAAGCTTGTTTCGATAAAAAGGGCAAACTTATGTGAGGTCAATATCTTTGTCTCTGATTGTGTCTGATTCAATATTGAAAAGGCTACTTTTTCACTTCACTGCCCTTAATATGATTTGTCGGTGACCTCAATCTACATGCTATCAAGGCTATGAATATTTAATCCTTACTAGAGGGGGGGGAGGAGAATTAGGCTGTGTTTCAAACTATAATTCCACCCCTACATTCCAATGCCATGTTTGGATACGTCTTTCAAATTATATTTTCACAACAAAAAGAAAACTTTGCAGAAAATTCTGTGTTAGGCAAAAAAAAAAAAAAAATTGAAATTTGGCTTAACCGGTCGTCCGGCCGATCAATCGAAACAAGGCATTTTTTTTTTTTGGCAATTGGCACTTGTTTATATATATATATATATATATATATTTTAATAAAACAATATTTCAGAATTTTTTAAAATTTTTTATGAGCTTTTAATAGATTTTTGAGTTGTATGTTTGGTTATGAGTTGTAAGTTTTTGTATCAGATATCATATGTCACATAAAAAATTCCCCACTCAATTCAAAACTCTTTTCATACTCATAACTAAACAAATTTTCTGCCCTCAAATCATAATTCCAAAACACACAAACTCAAAATATTAGACTCCACATAGCCTTCTATAGCTCTACTTCACCTCCATAGCATCCATTTATAGATGCACATGCGAGTTTAGATATTCTGACCTTTGGCATATAGCGCAATATATATATAAGGAAAGAGTTATGTGAAATGAATGGGTGCAACACACAACAAATTTTCTAGTTCAACTTTTGTACATCATAAAGCTAGAAGGGAGCTATTTCTTTTCTTAATATTTTTCAAACCTAATTTTATTGAGAGATTGGAACTCTAATCAAAGAAATAATATAGGAATTTTTATTTATATCCGTTTTAACCCTAAAAGTTCCATGTCCCTATCGAGTACCATTTTTTTTTTGGTCAAATCCATGATGTGTTTGTATCCAAATTTTTTTAAAATCGCCATGTCCTGTGTCCATGCCCATGTCTGTGTATGTGCTTCTTAGGAGTTTAACCAAATATTACAAGCAAACTTTATCTGAGTACTGGAACTAAGCGAATGAGTGAACCAGGTATAGCAATGAGAGCATAAACAATGGCACAAAATGGGAGAGCCTCAAGTTCCTCTGCTGACAATGTTGTTGTTCCCAATCATTCTACTTTTTAATAGTAATTCTTTAAATTAGTGTCAAATTCAACTAAACTTTAACACATGAATAGGATACTACAAGATCATTTTGGCCCTGTGCTAAACGTCTAGAAGATATAGTTTCACAACTTTTGAGGGTAGTACATATTAACTTGAAGAACTAAAATAAGATGATCACATAATGACAACTGAGATATAGAGACAAATTTGCAAAGACAATTGAAAATAACACCAGAAGTTTCATTACCCACTCCAAGATAATTAAACACCAAAATGCACCATATATAATGAAGTTTTTCCAAAGTTCACATACCACCAATGATCGAACACAGAACAATGGAAGCCATCTCCAGATCAATGATTGCAGGCACAAACAAATTCATCAAACAGAGCACTTGGGAATTTAATGGCAGCTCTTTCAATTACACATCCAATTGACAGTACAATGCCAAGCGAGGCAGTCACATATGCATTACATCAAACACCTTGTATACACACAGAACAGAACCCAATAAAACAAACTATTAAAACAACAATTCATTGATAAGAAAAGTCATGGGGAAGTCTTTGCTTACACTTTGAAGGGTTGTGGAAGCAAAACCACTGTGTGAACCCATGGATTTGGGTAGAGTGAGTTTTGTGAGGAACACCACTGGAAGCAAAACCGCTGTGTCAATCTTATGGTTTTGTTGCAAGTTAGTACAGTGGTTATCCAAGTATATATGGACTAATCATCTAACACTGTAAGTGTATTATTGTTAATACACTTATTAGTTTGATTTATTTGTTAATGCACTCGGTGTTCATAAAACTTATTATTTTTTTTAAAAAAACTATTGGTTTAATTTATTTGTTAATATAATTAGCGTTTTAGGCGTTTGTAAATTTAAAGTGTGTATCAAATCTCTTTACCTCTAAGTGTTTTAAAAATTATTAATTTAATTTATTTGTTTGTTGTCTTCATTTTGTGTGCGTTTAAAAAATTAAAATCAATATTCTTAAATTTTCTGTGTCTGCTTAAAAAATCAATGTTTATTTATTGAATAATGCTTGGGACCCCCTTTTGGGGGTCACCCCCTCAACCCCTTTGCCACGTGGCGGGTGGTGATTGGAGGAGCAGGAAAAAAAAGAAAAAGAAAAAGAAAATGTAACCAATGAGGGATAGAGGGGGTCAAAGGGGTGGAGAAAAAATGAGGGATGAATCATTGTTGTTATTTATTTGTTGTCTTCATTTTGTGTGTTCTTAAAAATAAAAAAAAAAATTAAAAACAATGTTCTTGAAGCTTTATGTCACATGGAATTTAGATAAAAATAATAATAAAAAAAAATTAGGCACCCAAGTTCTTTCCACTAAACACATTCTGCAACCCAATTCTCTCCCACAATCAGTTACTCTCATCACTAGTGGTCACCCGTGCGGTGCACGAGATTTTAAAAAGTCAATAATCACTAAAAAGAATTTTCTATTTGATTGCATCTCTTAATATTTTATTTAATTTGTGTATGTAAATCTTATTTTACATCATTAAAAAATATTTAATATTTCACATTATTGAATTTTTTTAAAAACTATCATACATTAAGTAAATCATTACATATATAATAACTAATTTATCTAAGAATTACTTCGGACAATCAAAAATAGAGTAACAAAGGCATGTTGTAATTAATCAAAATGACTAATATATTAAATAAAAGTAACACTAATTTTGTTTAATCAATAATAGACATTACATTAATTATCCCATATAATATAATAAATTAAAATAAAATTAATTTTAATTCTCATTATATGGTTAAATTTTTTTTACATGCTATTTGTTTTTTGGTTTTATTGATTCATTAAACACAAATAGGTTTGGAATGATTAAAAAGAAAAAAAGGTTTGGAAATGCGTTAAACTTGAATTGATAAACATAAAGAATATAAATATTTAAATTATTCAAAAAAAATAAACATTTTAAATATGAAATATCTTCCATTTGCTCAAACTTTGAATCTAAATAAAAAAAAAAATTAAAAAAGAAGAAGAAGAAATTTGTGGTTTAAATCTCAAAGGAAATGAGTTCCTAAAATTTTACATGCTATTTGTTTTTTGGTTATATTGATTCATTAAACACAAATAGGTTTGGAATGATTAAAAAAAAAGGTTTGAAAATGGATTAAACTTGAATTGATAAACATAAGGAATATAAATATTTAAATTATTCAAAAAAATAAACATTTTAAATATGAAATATCTTCCATTTGCTCAAACTTTGAATCTAAATAAAAAAAAAATTAAAAAAGAAGAAGAAGAAATTTGTGGTTTAAATCTCAAAGGAAATGAGTTCCTAAAAATAAATTTAAGATTTTTAGGCACCGAAAAAGGATTAGAAATGGCTCAATGTTGATTGTTTTTTCCTAATCTTCTGTTCATGATTTCTTTTGCAGGAACTTGTTTTTATATTGAAAATATTATGCTTAAACAAAAGATATATATGGAATTTTATCATGTTTACAATTTGTATGGATAATTAATTGATGATTTTAAAAAATAAAATATTAAATTCAACTTGAAGATAAACTTTAAAAAAATTAAACTAAAATATATAGAATTCTATAACAAAATAACAAAAGATAAATATATATTGTTAAAAAAATTATTATCTTTTTGGGATATTTATATCCCAATCTCAATCCTTTTTTTTTATTTAAATATTTTGTTATCTTTTATTTAAATTTTCATTTTCAGCTCAAATCTAAATAATTATGTTTTTATTTTTGTATATTTTTTCATTAATATTTTTTTGTTGCTCATATATAAATAATTACCTTTTTATTTTAAAAATTATTTGACTTGTACTATTTTTTTATTTTAATATTATGCTTAAACAAAAGATATATATGGAATTTTATCATATTTAAAATTTGTATGTATAATTAATTGATGATTTTAAAAAAAATAAAATATTAAATTCAACTTGAAGATAAATTGTAAAAAGATTAAACTGAAACATATGAAAATTTTATAATAAACTAATAAAAGATAAATATAGATCGTTAAAAAAATTATTATCTTTTTGGGATATTTATATCCCAATCTTAATCTTTTTTTTATTTAAATATTTTGTTATCTTTTATTTAAATTTTCATTTTCCAGTTCAAATCTAAAGTTGATGTATTTATTTCCAGTCTAGAAATAACTATTTTGGGCTATCGGTGGAGGATAGTCGTGTTTGTTGTAGACAATGCATGATGATTAG